GTTTTCGGGTACTTAACAACTAAGGCACTTTGATGTCCTGATGATAATCTATTCACACGGACACGAAGAACAGAGAGTTGAAGTCTCGTTATCACATCAGGTCACAAAATGAATTCAATTTCTGCAACAGCAAACTTTCATTTATGAGATCTCTTTCCAGACAATACTATTCGTTGACAGTTGTACCAGTCCATGCCACCCATCAGTAAATCAGTCGACAACCTTATGAAGCAAAGATGAAAATGAAACCTGTCTATCATAAAAGTAAAAAAAAATCTAAGCAGTAGCAGATATTAAACTCCATTCATACGGAACATGTTATGGGATACTGAACCAGAAACAAAACGTAGAAAAACAACCCTCCTTTATATATACAAAAAGGATAACCTTTATATACATATATGTGAGGCAGCGTGGTGGAATCAGGCTCTCGTCAAAATAATGAAATCGAAGAAAACAGCAGTTTTCTCCCTGTTTAGCAATTTTTATTAAATTTTTGTTTTTTGGCTCAACACCTTTTATGTCCATTTACAAACATTCCTTTAAGTATTTCACTGAAAACGTTGATTTAAGGTAAAAAAAAATAAAAATTTACAGTTGCCATGGACTCTCCAGCTTTGGAATTCACCAAGCTTTGGCGGCCATTTTCTCTCTAATTTTACCTCTTAAATCAGGTGACCCCCACCCCCTTCAATCCAAAATATCTCGACCTCTATTGAAGATGGATGGGTAATTTTTTCATTGAAAGCAAGACAAATGAACAAGCTTGAAGATGATACCAATAACTCAATATGCCCAAAAATTGACGAGAGCCTGATTCCACCACGCTGCCTCACATATGAAAAAGGATAACCCAAGCACGAAATAAAAAAATAAGCTGGAAACGAAACGAAAACCAAAACTCTCTCCCCATTCCCGAATCTACCAGAACAATATGTGAGGTGTGCTGACAAAATGAGTTACTTCTCGCAATCCATATATGGAGATATTGGCCCAAAAGTTCACACTGGGGTCAAATTTGTAGATTTTTTATTTATGCCATTTTCTTTAACTATAATATGCCTTTCATTATTTCATACTTATAAATTGTAAAAACTTCACCTTTAAGCGTGACGTATCTATTTCCATAGGGCTCGAATCCGAGAAGTAACTCATTTTGTCAGCATGCTACACATACATATAGGAAAAGTACAAGGGAACCTTTAACCATCACATGAAAGACTTACAACTTACACTCCGCTAGAACAAAGTGAAATAAATGCAAACAGAAATCACTCAATCTGATAAAAGAAAAAAAAGCTGACATTAAAATGCCATGAAGACTAAATTGAACTCATATCATAGCACCCGACAAATTTTTCAAAAATTCAAGCACATTATTGGGTAATTATGTTCTTTTGCTCAAAATCAACAAACTTTGTGCTCATGATACAAAGCAATGGCAACAATTCATATAGAATGATCAATCAATAATAAATGTATTGAGAAACAACAACAACATTAACAACATCAAACAGCCATAAGATAAACTTATCAAGAACAAACCATCAACTAGATTACATCATAGAGAAACATGTATGTGATCAACAAAACTGGCGTGAGGTTCAACACATCATGAAACATACTCAAGACATCAAGTTCTTTACAACTTTATTCAATGCCCTTTTCTATCTCGTATAAAAACCCCCAGTGAATGCAGGTCACTGTATTAATAGAAATAAATCAAGCAGTAGATTACATATAATATATACTCATAGTAAAGGACAGGAGTAAAATAAAAAAAGAAGAAGATCAGCTCGTTTAAATATATGTTTATCAGTAGCTGTAAAATGCTCAGAAATCAGCAGCTTTCCAAAATGCGATACACACAAGTGACAAATAGTCACTTACTGACATGCAGTAATATAATACACCACTGCTAAATCTTCTTATCTTTCAATTCTCCAATCAGCAGAAACACGATGGTTAATCAAATACAAACATTGAGGACTTTTGTAAAAGGTTATTACACAGTTGGTGCTGGGCCATCACTTTGGTAGCCCATTCTTCCCGTAACTCTTTATCTCCGGCAAGCCACTCCCAGCGGCTCGCTGTCAGAACCCCTGTGTCGGTGAGCCACTGACAGCAGCTCGGGCACATTCCTTTACGCCGACTTTGACATCAAACTATTTTTCGGCAATTGGCGAAAACAGGTTTCTTTCACCTGAAGTTCATTCAGTAGGCCTACTATCAAAATAGGTTCCCTAGTTTTGATTGAATGATCCGTTTAGTGACATATTCGTCATTTTTCAATTTAGTAAGAAAAAAAAACAGCCCTGGCGTAATGGGTTTAACCCCCCCCTCGGAGATAAAGAGTTAAAGCAAAGTGAGAGGATCTATGGCTGCAGCTGCTGTTGCATACATTATACGTGTAAATTCTGCTTTAGTTTTAGTAAGTGTTTTACGGCACTTGAAACACAATAAGGTCATATAAATATAAGTGCCGAAGATTAGAGGTGTTACAAGAGAGTAACAAACACAAAAAAGGAGGTTTAGTTTAGTTTTAGTAAGAATTTTACAGCACTTGCAACACAATAAGGTCATATAAGTGCCGAAGATTAGAGGTGTTACAAGAGAGTAACAAACAAAAAAAAGGAGGAGAGACAAGGACGACAGATGTTTGATAGGAAAGAAGGAGCAAACCACACCAGAGCACCCGCCAATCACCCACGTGTAAATTCTACTATAATAAAAACAACTATAATAAAAACAAGAGCTTATGTCTTAACAGGGCAGTCAAAGAGACAACCATTGATTTGTATAAATGAATTCCATTTTTGACACCGCCTCAGTATCAAGTTTGAGTGAGTCATCATTGTAAAATGTTTTCTCAGCGACATTGCGTCAGCATTGATTAAGCCTGAGAATGAGACATCACAGTAAATGTTTTCTCAGCGACATTGCGTCAGCATTCACTCTTTCAACCCCATAGGACCCTGGTAGCCTCTGGCGGTAATAACCCTGTTCCCCAAAAGGCGCTGGGAGCGTCTGATACTAGTCACAATTCTTTCGTTTTATTTAGTGCTAGTTTTTGCTTGTTTTTCAGAACTATTCCCGAACCAGGTTTTTTATTAATGACTAAGCCGTTGTTTTCACCATTCAGAAGTTGGAGGCAAGCTTTTAGGGTTATAATAAGTTACAGTGCACCAGCTTCAGGTGTCTGTAGAAAAAACTCAGCGAAACGGTGGAAAAAAACTCAAGGTTTAACTCACTTGCGACTGGGCCCTTTCACCAGCCACAAGCGTTGAAGACTTGTGTTTTGGGGGGTATTTCAATAAATCACCACAACTCTCAGAATTACCCTATTGTAATCATTTTTTGACACAGTAAAGTAACATTCAAGCTTAATCTAATACAAAAAACTAAAGTTGTCTAAGTCTAATACTTTAATTTGTATGATTTTTTTAAAATTGGCATTAATTTGATTTTCGAAAAATTTCCAGAGACGTGGCAAGTAGAATGAAATTCACTGCAACAACAAAAATAAAAGTTCAAAGTGTTCTGGTTTGATTTGTATACATGTGCAAGTGTTTGGTGAAAATATAAAAGCTGGTCTGTGCATTGATTCAGACCCATACACTGAATTACATGAGACAGATGTACGGCACGACGTTGTGATTTCGTTGCGCGAAAAACAACACCGGTACTAGTGCTAGATCTAGCCCTAGAACTACGACTCGGGCCGTGTTCGGGAACATATCCAGGATCCTAACTATTAGACACATCATATTCTGAGACACTAGAACTAGTAAAACGCACAGAAGTATAGAAAACGGCGAGATTATGTGATTCTTGTTCATGCGACTTCTTCGACCGTTACTACGACGCGACTGTCGGATTACTATGAGCTGTATAGAAAAAAACAAAGCGCGAGTTCCGGTCTGTTCAACCCCAGTTGGGGTCACTGTCCTTCACCTTCAATAACTTAAAAACTACCGGCCCCAGAGATACGAAACGAAGTCTAAGTAGCTCAGGCTTGGCCAAACAAGGGTACGAGGCGGGTCTCGCGATCCGTGCGTGATTTGTAGAGCGAAAAAAAAATTCCAAAGTTGGTCACGCAGGGCTTGTGAGACCCGACGCGAGCGTCATGGCGGGGGTCACGCAACTGTTGTGTGACCCGTCTGAAGTGAGTTAAAGAGTTAAGTTTGAGTGAGACATCACTGTAAATGTTTTCTCTTTGACATTGTGTCTGCATTATAAGTCTGAGTGAGACATCTATGACCTAAAAGTATTGTGCGGAGGGACATTGAGTCCGAATTCCGACCTAAAGGAGATGGGATGTACCAGTAATGGCCGGACAAGGGTGCAGACTTTGTCCCTGATCAAAAGTCAAGGGCTGGTGGGACACCAAAAAAATAGTGTTTTTGGGTGAAATTATGAAAACTGGGATTATCACTTATTATATTTCCGGAACCCTCTAACACTACAAGAGAAGCAATACAGGCCGACAGATGAAATGAGCAGGACGGCCCAATTTATGACAGATACCAGACTTCAAGTGTGATGCGATCGAGAAGAAGAAGAAGATATTTCCTAAACAATATCCCAAAAACTATGAAAGCGTTTCTGTAGGCCTACCCCGAAGTGGTGTTTGGAAGGACTTTAGAGCGGAGGGTAGGGACTTTTTAAATTACAATAATTACCTATTCTTGTCTCAAAAAGCATGTTTTGCATCGCTTATATGCTTCAGTTTTAGTAAGAAACCTCCATTCTATGTCTGCGGTGTTAACATTAATAAGTGGTTGCCATGTGATGGTTTGATATTATGTTTTGAAGGTTTTTACTGGAAAGAGAATTACTTCAGACCTTTATTGGCCATTTTCTCAAAATGCTATTTTCACACACATCATCCCATTTTTCTGCTTTGTTTCTTGTTCAATTTTAACGTAACTTTCACAAAATGTTAACGACAACTAGTTCTAAAAGTAGTCTGAGGAATTTTCGATTGCATTTGTAGTTTCTGATAAATGGCCTCCGAAAGCCTGATTTTTTGTTATTTTTCCCCAGTTATGCAATAAGCCGATTTTCAAGTGCCATATCATGAAAACGAAAGCCTGTGTAAAAAATTCATCAAACCAACTTTTAGATCTATACTTTTCCTACGTACATACCAATATAATAAAAGTATATTTGTGGAAAAAACAAGTGAATAAAATGGGATCAAAATAAGTATACAAAATCCAATCCGTTTCCATGGCAACCGAATCAGTTTAGCTTTTTTTAACAATAGATTTTAAATCCCCAAAGATACATGATCTCCCACAGCAAATATGAGCTCTCAAGGGTTTGTAATAGCCGAGATAGCCTTCAGGTGCCCCACCACCTTGGAGAGCTCTTGGTGGTGGTGGACAATGTTCTACCGCATGGTGATGACGGCTGCTGAAGATGAGAAGACATCATGAACGGACACTACCAGACGGGTTGGTCCTTCACCTTTTCAAATCATGTACGAATCATCCTTGTTCTCCGGGCTGCTGTTGCTGTTAGAGTTAGTGAACGGGCTCACGGAGGCCTCCTCGTCCGAGTCGTTCCCTCCATCGTCGTGAATGTGCACCACCTTGCTCGGGGTCTCCGCCCAGGCGTGAGGCAGCCCCGCGTCCGACTTGGGTCGCTTGCTCCCCGGCGTGAAGAAGGCGGCGTCGGAGGAGCACCTGCTGCGAGAGACCGCCTGAGCCTCGCGACTGTCCAGGTTGGAGTAGTGGTCGACGGTCGCCTCGTGGGGCATCTGTCAGTGAGATGGTTTGTTGGTTTTAGAGGAGGTTTTACAGCGCTCGCAACTGCATTAGGTCATATGAGCGTCAAGGGGTGGATGTCTACAGAGAAGTCCTTAAAGGGAATCAGACTTACTCTGCTCACCTCTCTAGCTTCAACAGCACAAAGTCTGCTTCGACTATCAAGGCACCCCAGAAATGGAGTATTTTTTCTACATTTTAACTTGTCAATAGTTTGTTTTAGTAGAGGTTTTGCGGCCCTCGCAACTACATAAGGTCATATGAGCGTCAAGGGGTGGATGTCAACAGAGAGGTTCTTACAGGGAATCACACTTACTTTGCTCACCTCTCTAGCTTCAACAGCACAAAGTCTGATTAGACTATCAAGGCACCCTGGAAATAGTGGGTCACAAGAGTGTGACAAACATACAAAAGAAGTAGAGGTAAATAACAATAGTAAGGATCAGGAAAGAAAAAGCAGCAGTTCCCTGTTGCAGTTCAGGCAGTTATGAGCATGACATTGATGAATCAGCCCATTTACAATTACAATGCTACTGTCTAAAAGAACTCGAGATGTTAATGTCCCCCCCCCCCCTCTGGGAATGGGCTAAAGACACTTCAATCAGTAGCACCGTCCAGGGGTGTCTTGAGGTGTTACAAGAGAGTAAAATACAAAAAAGAAGGAAGGGACATAAGGATGACAGATGTTGGATAGGAAAGAAGGAGCAAACCACACCAGAACACCCGCCAACCACCCACTGGGGCATCTGTGAGTGAGTAGGTAAGTAGGTAGGTAGGCCCTACCACAGAACATAAAGCATACAAGTTTAGCACCACCCATGAATGAGTACTCTTAGCAACATACATCTTCCTTCAGTTGAATTTGTCCAAGACGGCAACCGGTTATAGAGGAGAAAAGTGGTTGTCTGAGACAGGAGTACCTCTTTTTAGTTTTAGTAAATGTTTTACGGCACTTGCAACACAAGAAGGTCATATAAGGCGTCACAAGAGAGTAACGAACACAAAAAAGAAGGAGGAGAGATAAGGCAAATAGACGTTTGATAGGAAAGAAGAAGCAAACCACACCAGAGCACCCGCCAACCACCCACAGGCGCACCTCTTGGACAAGTGTCATTATCATTTTTAAAACAAGCAAGGGATGAAGTGGTCATTTGTACCTGTGATGGTCTTGGACAGGTGGTCATAGAGAGGGTAATAGCTTAGTTTGTCAAGGGTACAGAGCTTGCTGCTGAGTGAGGATATATGTGCAAAACAAATGCTACTTTCGTTAATTGTTTTTAGACTTTATTATTTTTATTGTACCATTACTATTATTATAATCATTATTATAATAATAATTAACATAATAATAATTAATAATAATAATAATAATAATAATAATAATAATACTAATAACAATAATTTAATAACATTAATAATAGTAATAATAATAATAATACTAATACTAAAATAACGATAATTTAATAACATTAATAATAGTAATAATAATAATAATAATAATAATTATTATTATTAATTATTGTCATTATCATTACTATCCCTCTGAGAGGGGTGATAAACCACCCTCCCTGATGGAGAGCCCGTGTTACTTACCAGCATGGAAGGAGCTCTAAACATGTAGCAGAACGGATAGTGCAGCAGGTTGAGGAAGGTCGCGGCATAGATATCAGCGTATCTCCTCACTTGGGAGGCAAAGAACGTTTGCCGAGAACCTAAAAAAAATAAAAAAATTAGAGTTGTGAATACAAACACTTGTACGAATTGTGAGCAACAGCACAGATTTAATTCTGGTGGTTGAGGAAAATCCATGGCATCAATGCTAGCTGATAGTGATAGAGTCAACTCACTCAACCCTAGGCCTACACTTCCGGGTTGTCAGCTTTCACTAGAGATGTTCACCACTTTTTTGGGTTGTTTTTTTGAAAAATTGAAAAAAATACTAAATTTTAACGTATCCTGCCCAAATTTAGTATACATTTTATTCAAATCTTTATCTATGAGAATTACAAATTTGAAGGTAAAAATATGTCATAGTTTTTATGCAATACCCCATGGAGAAAAGGTCTTTACACAGAGTCAAAAAGTAAACAAAAAGCGAAGAAAGGAAGTGCCTTCAAATTTCGCACCCCCCTCAAATGATTCACCAATATAGCTTTCTTTGTTCTAAATTCGGGCATGCAATTCTGGTCATATTCTGTTTCAAACGAAAAATGGTTACTCTTCCAAAATTAAGCCACAGTCTGCTTCACACAAAAGAAGTGTTTTCGGCCAAGAGAGAGAAATTTTCCATACACCAATACTGTCTGCGTTAGGGCTGGGTGAGTTAGACTCTTTTCCAGCGCTTCCCGGAGTTTTTTCTACAGTCACCTAACCCTGGTGCACTATGTCTCAATAACCCCAAAAGCTTGCCTCCAACTTCTAAATAGCCGAAACAAAGGCTTAGTCATTGCTGAAAAAAACTAGGTTCGGGAATAGTTCAGAAAAACAAGCAAAAACTAGAACTAAATAAAACGAAACAGTTGTCACTAGTACTGGACGCTCCCAGCATCCGATGGGGAACAGGGTTATCACCGCCGGACACTCATAGTGTCCGCTGGGGTTGAAAGAGTTAACAAAACCAGATGGACTCACCACTGCGGAACAAGCTGCCCAGCATCCCATAGGACATGTCCAGAGAGTGGATGACACCCTGGGGGAAGAGAAGAAAAGTAAGTCTTTAGTTTAGTTTTAGTAAGGTTTTTGTTTTAGTGAGTGTTCTTTTTTTAAAAATAAAAAGGGTTTTACGGTGCTCGCAACTGCATAAGGTCATATGAGCGCCGAGTGGTGAATGTCAACAGAGGAGTCTTTACATAAGTAAGTGTTTTACGGCACTTGCAACACAGTAAGGTGATGTAAGTGCCGAAGATTAGAGGTGTTACAAGAGAGTAACAAACACAAAAAAGAAGGAGGAGAGATAAGGACGACAGATGTTTGATATGAAAGAAGAAGCAAACCACACCAGACCACCGGCCAACCACCCACTAGTAAGGTTTTATGGTGCTCGCAACTGTATAAGGTCATATATGAGCGCCGAGGGGTGGATGTCAACAGAGAAGCCCAACGGGGAATCAGGCTTACTCTGCTCACATCTCTAGCCTCAACAACACAGTGCAAAATCTGCTTCGACTTTCAAGGCACCCCGGAAATAGCAGTTCACAAGAGGGTGATAAACATACAAAAAAAGTGGAGGAAAAATGATGATGGTAAGGATGAGGAAAGAAAAAGCAGCAGTTCCACCTATGTTGTTCCGGCACAGTATGAGCATGACATTGATAAATCAGTCCATTTACAATTCTACTGTGCATAAGAACATGTTAATATCCCCCCTTTGGGAATGGCCTAAAGACGCTTCAGTCAGGAGAACTGCCCTGGGGGGAGAAAAATTAAGTCTGACAAACAGCTCAATACACGAAAAAAAAACACCAACAAACATCTGTGGTGTAGTGGTTAGGTGCTTTGTTATCGCAGGCAGGAGACCTTCTTATTATAGAAGGAGGAGGAGGCGGAGGAGGAGGAGGAGGAGGAGGAGGAGTAGGAGGAAGAGGAGGAGGAGGAAGAAGAGGAGGAGGAGGATGAGGAGGGGAGGAGGAGGAGGAGGAGAAGGAAGAGGAGGAGGAAGAGGAGGAGGAGGAGAAGGAGGAGGAGGAGGAGGAGAAGAAGAAGAAGAAGAAGAAGAAGAAAAAGAAGAAGAAGAAGAAGAAGAAGACAAAGAAGAAGAAGAAGAAGAAGAAGAAGAAGAAGAAGAAGAAGAAGAAGAAGAAGAAGAAGAAGAAGAAGAAGAAGAAGAAGAAGAAGAAGAAGAAGAAGAAGAAGAAGAAAAAGAAAAAGAAGAAGAAGAAGAAGAAGAACAACAACAACAACAAGAAAAAGAAAGCAGGGTTTTGAGATAGAGTCAGTGATTCAACGATTTCTAGAACAAGGCAGATGCTGAAGAAACGTCGGTTCAAAAGAATTTGTGCCAAGGACAACAGACATTGCCCCCCCCCCCCCACACACACACACACGCACAATGAACTGTGATCAAAGAGAAGGCTCATGTGATCCTCCCAATTGAAAGAGCTGCAGGGTTAGGCTACCTTAGACAACTGCATTATCTCCCCTTCATGTTTAATTAACTTTTATTGATAACCTCAACCTTTTTTTTTCTTGTTTAGCAAAAGTTTTACGGCACTTGCAACACAATAAGGTCATATAAGTGCTGAAGATTAGAGGTGTTACAAGAAAGTAACAAACATAAACAAGAAGGAGGAGAGATACGGACGATAGATGTTTGATAGAAAAGAAGGAGCAAACCACACCAGAGCACCCGCCAACCACCCACTATGTAGAAAGATAGAGGGAAAGAAAAGCAGAGTAATTCAAAGAACAACATACACAGATGGCCCGAACAACTTTGCAATGAATAACTCAGAGAGAACAACTGAGATGATCAAGAAGACAGACAACAGGAGGAAATGGGGTGCCATGATCATCAAGGTCTGCTCCAGCCCTGACACCTGCATAAAAAGAAGAATGTATGTCGCAGCCTAACAAAGTTAAGGATTTTCAATTCAAATGTGAAGTCAGTCCTGTTGTATGGATGTGAGACATGGAACACATCTCAGACTTGCATAAAGAGGATCCAGGTTTTCTTGAACAAGTGTCTAAGAAAGTTACTGAGGATCAGATGGACAGACAGGGTCACCAACGAGGAAGTGTTAAGGAAAACAAGACAGATCCCAGTCAGAGATGAGGTAGGAAGAAAGCGGTGGTGATGGATTGGACATACTCTCAGGAAGTCAGGCAGCTGCATAACAAAGAATATTTTGGATTGGAATCCAGAGGGCAAGAGATCAAGGGTGAGGAACCTGGAGAAAAATCACAGAAATCGATGTACAGAAAAGTGGGAAGACATGGATCAACATCAAGAGGTAAGCCCAGGATAGAGAAAGGTGAAAAGTGTTTGTTCGTGGCCTATACATACCCTGGTGCAGGGTGAGAAAGGCAATGATGATGATGATGATGATGTTGCAGCCCGAGAAAAGAGTAAAACACAACTGAGAGACTCACCCTCAAAGAATTATTAATTTGGGAGGTGTCCGGTTTTTCAGTTGTGCTGCTATCCAAATGCCTGTCGAAAAAGAAAAGTCAACGTCACTTTCAGTCCATAAGAAAATAAATTATTTCTTGAAAAAGGTCCCATTCAACCCTTGAAGACAACATTTTTCTCGACTACCAAAATTACAAAATTTATGAAGTAAAAAAACAATATGATTGAATTGCATATCACACTGAAATTTACAAATTCAAACAACACACTGAGCATTATGCACAAGCAGAAAAAACCGAAATGGTGATTGTAGTACACATTACAAAATGCCAAAATTTCCAAATAGTGATCTTTTCAAAACAATGGCACTCGGTTGTCATGGGTTGAAATATATGCTCTCATATTACAGTTCAGACATCAAAAATATGTGATAAATAGTTTCAACATATCTTTTCAGCTTTAAACATCACAAAGTCCATTTCATCTGTATCCCCAATGCACTTACTCCTCTTCAATTTTCTATAAACTGTGCCTTTCTTTTCATTTGTATAAAAGATAACAACCTAAAGTTTCATTCAACTGAAGTTTGATATTTGACTGTAGGGGTCTGGGACAATAAAAAGGAAGGAACTGGCTTGCTTAAGGCCCTATTGTGAAATTATTTGAGGAGGGGAGGACAATTACTAAGAAATATTATTTCAGCTTTTAAGGTCTGCATTTTGGACCTGAAAGGAGAGTGCTTTCAATGGTACTTTGAAAAATTTCAAACCTAAAATGCAAGCACAAGCTCATTGTAGCGTGCAAAACTATGAGATAAGATAAGATAACTATAATATCGCCATACAGGTGAGGGGTAACGTGCACTGTGTCTCTAGAGGATGTAGATAAGCCTGTTTCAATGTGGTGTGGCATCAAGCAAAAATTGAACAAATCCTGAAGTGGGTGAGGTACATAATGGGTAGAACCAGCAAATGTTTCCTTTTTGCAGCAGTTCAGATAAAAATAAGCCGACATTACTGCAGTATTGTCATCATAAAGAAAGATAAGATTTCAAGCTTTAAGCATGTATTTTGATAATAATAGATATAGCATTTGTATAGTGCAAATCCCCGCTCAACAGCAAGCACTATGTGTTTTACAATCTAAATCTATACTATTACCCCAGCAGACCTGAGAGCATTCTGAAACAACCTCAACTTCCTGGGAAGCATATACAGTGCAAGTGGTCATTTACAGGCGCTAAAACATTAACATACTGACAACATCTTTCGCTGTCTATGGCCATTCCCACTTGGGTGAAGTGAGGAAAATTCGTGTAAAGTGCCCTTCCCAAGGTCACAACATCAGGCGAGTGGCTCGAATACCCGAACCGCAACCTCATGATTACCAGTCCGGTAGCCTAACCACTAGGCCACCGACGCCAACAAAGGTTTTCATCAATTGTGCTTTTCATTTGTATAAAAGATACAATCTTAATTTTCATTTGTAAATTTTCCATCAAAATGTTCTAAAAAAGAATGAAGATTTGATATATAAGGATACATTTCTAGTACAGCCAAGCAGCCATTGAAGATTAATGAGAATAAAGAGAAAAAAAACAACTTAAAAAATATAAATACCACAGACATTCCTTTTCCCTTTCCTGAACTCTTCTGAAGAAAATTGGTGAAGAAGGTCTCTAAAATCAATCTTGTAGAGTAGTAAGCCTATAGTCAATTGTAAATAGGCACCACAATTTTCCAGATTTAGTTGAAACTGCCAAAGATAGGCCACTCATTGTCGAGGAAAACAGTGGTTGTCTTAGACAGGCAGACATTTTACTTTAGACAGCATTATTACAATGTCAAAAAATACAAGGAGAGAAGAGGGAAGTGGTCATCCGGACGGCAGGTGATTGTCTCATACAGGTGGTGGTTGGACCAATTCTGACAGTATTTCCTTCGATACCAAATTTTTTTACAAACTTTTTTCTGTGTCACCATTCTCAGGAGTGAATCAGCAGCTTGCAAATGTTCACTTTCAGTCACTTCTCAAGTGCACTACTCTCCATCTCTCTTTCTCTCTTTAACGATCTTTATCGTACTCTAGATATCAGAAGAATAAAACTAAATCTAAGCATTCCCTTGCTCATTTCTTTTCCTTCTGTTAATCCTTTACCTTTTTCTCTGCCGGATATCGGATCTCAACCCAGGACGGAGCTAGATCTACAGGAACTGGAGCTACCCCTTTCATTGTCACTAGTACTAGTTTTATTTTGGTCAGTGTTCTTTAGTTTTAGTTTCAGTAGAGGTTTGACGGCACTTGCAACAGCATTAGGTCAAGTGAGCGCCGGAAGAGTAGAGGTGTTACAAGAGAGTAACAAACATAAAAAATTAGAAGGGGAGAGAAGGACGATAGATGTTTGATAGAAAAGAAGAAGTAAACCACACCAGAGCACCCGCCAACTACCCACCTAGCACTAGTTTTTCTCATATAAATTTTTACACATACATTTATATTATACGAATAATACTTTGTTTTATGTACACAAAAGTCGATTAATTTTTAAGATGTGATGTCTTTTTCGTTGTAATGCGCATTGAGCATTTTTTAGAAAAAGGAAATTTGCAGTACAAATGCTATTTATTATTATTATTTTTAGTTTTATTTGGGTTGGTGTTCTTTGATCTCAATAATAAAAATATCACCTTCAACATCAGACGGGAGAATCAATATCTTTACCTTCTCCCAACAAAAAACCCCCCCAACAGTTTGGGGACTTGTTTTACACTTTGATTGACTTATTTAGCAGCACCGGTACAGGAGGCCTGGTGCCGGTACTGACACTTCCGGAGGAAGTACAGTAGTCTCTGCCTAAACGCAAGGGATACAAAAGCACGCTCAGCTCAAACGCACGCTTTCGTCATCTGACAGGTTTTTTAACTGTATAATTTAGACGTACAAACGCATGGTCACTCCCTGTAAACGCACGCTCCGATCTGCGAAACACGCCGACAAGTTAAGCTTGGCAAGGGGAAATTTTCACAACAACCTGCACAGCCTGCATAAGACAAGCCTAGAATTTACTAGAAAACCAGATGTTTGGTGAGAGTGTTTACACACCCTACTTTCCACAGACACATAGATCTAGGTCTAGGACTGGTCGGTTAAATGTTGGGGGGGGGGATGGGATTTGGGGGACTTAAATGTTTTTTGATTGGTCACTGGAAATGTATCTTTGAGAGAAGGTTTCTGACTGGTGTTTGAGTTTGAGTGACTGCGTGTAATGATAATTTAGATCTAGTATCTAGGCCTGATGCGCGACATGCGTAAAACACTAGATAGACAGGCCTCTATAGGATTAAAGATAAGCCAAGTAAGCCTAATCAGCTCCGCTAGAAGAACTTATAACGTACTTGTTCAATGAATCACAAGAGAAAATGTTTCTCGAGAATGATTCTGCATGAAATTACAGTCGGGGGTAGTCGCTTGGAAAGCCACGTTTCTGGACCGTCGTCTCTATGACTATGACCAACAGTTTCCTCTTAGGCTATCTGTTCCCGATGTTTATAGTGTATATTCATTACACTGAGTTTGTCTTTCTCACCAAGTACATTTTTGAATAATAATAGATAGCATTTGTACAGTGCAAATCCCCGCTCAACAGTTAACTCTAAGCGCTTCACAATCTATACTATTACCCCAGCAGACCTGAGGGCATTCTGAAACAACCTCAACTTCCTGGGAAGCATACAGTGAAAGCGACCATTTATAGGCGCTAAAACACTAACATACTGACAAGACCTTGTGCTGTCTAAGGCTGGGTACCCATTCCCACCACGGTGAAGTAAGAAAAATTCGTGTGAAGTGCCTTTCCAAAGGACACAACGTCAGGCCCGCGGCTCAAACCCCCTAAACCCTAACCACTAGGCCACCGACACCACAATTAAATTCATGCAGGAGAGGCAACAAGCATGAGATTACCTGTAGATGTCAGACAAGGCACTCTCGATGCGGGTCAGGTTTTCAAACAGCTGCCTTTTGTCTGTCCACACACGCAGCTCCGTCGCCAGCTCAGGGATGATGAGAAAAGTTCTCCAGCCGCGGATTTTCTTCGACTTAAGGATATCTCCAAAGATGTGGTCTCCGACATATAAGACATCCGTTCCCCGAGCACCAAGAAGTCGAGAAATTACTTCGCAAGAACCTGTAAGAAAGTGGCTTTTTTAGTTTTCGTACAGGTTTTACAGCGCTCGCAACTGCATAAGGTCATGAGCGCCAGAAGATTAGAGGTGTTACAAGAGAGTAACAAACATAAAAAAGAAAAAGGGGAGATAAGGACGATAGATGTTTGATAGGAAAGAAGAAGCAAACCACATCAGCGTACCCGCTAAGAAAGAGTTATAGTTTTAGTATTTAGTTGAAGTTTTACAGCACTGGCCACATGAATAGGTCCTCACACAAGTGCCAAAAATTTGAAGTTTTTCTGGAGAGTAACATACAAAGAAAAGAAGGAGGAGAGAAAGGGACGACAGATGTTTGATAAGAAAGAAGGAGTAAGTAAGTAAGCTTATTCAGTGTTAGTGTTTGAGGCCATTGGCCCACATCACATCACATAAAACACTCATTTGATAAGTAAAGTTTCCATAATGAATCAGTACAGGTTGTGCACATATCTCTTATCATGGGTCAAACATTGCATATTTCTGTCACTGGGCCGACGAAAGAAGGAGAGTAACATACAAGGAAAAGAAGGAGGAGAGATAAGGACGATAGATGTTAGACAGGAAAAAGGAAAAACTCACACCAGTGCACCCGCTTACCAACCACGACTGAAGGGGGAAAAAGTTCTAGACTGAACATAAGTCACCCTAAAAGATCCAATGTTCTCTGAACAGTGAATTTTGATGACAAAAGTTTTGATAAGAGAGTTTCACGGTATCTTGAAAGCAATGAAAGCTTATCTATGACATAAGAAGCCCATCAAGCCACCAGGGAGATTCACAGGCACAAACCACAAACCACATCCTTGATGTAAAGAAGAACACATGAAAACTTTTGAGATTTCAATCTGAGGAGATTTTTAACCCCATCCGAGCGTCGTGTTTTACTATCCTATCCATATGACGTGGGGAACTCTGTGCCACCACTTTCCAAAGAGGAAACTTACTCGTTAATCCAATCTGTATCTTTTGCATAGCAGTCGGTCAAAATTATTTTTAAAAAAAATACTGAAAGTCTCAAAGAGATCTTCACACTAAAAGTATTCTAAAATGTGAAGAATACAACCCTGGGGGTACATAATGACCTCAGGACGTACGGATAGGATTAAATAACTAGAATAAGGACTTTCAATTTAAGAAAAACCAAAAAAACCCCTACCAAACAAAAAAACAACAACCAAACAAACAAAAAACCCCCCAAGATTTTGCAAAACTCACAGCACATGTTACAAAAAATGATTGTGATTAAAATCCGTTCAAAACCAGTGACTCTACTACATGGGCATTGCAGACTGTAGGAAGGTGATGCATTCTAATATCTTTCAACTTTTCAGATCTTACGTTTCTATTTTAAATTTCTTAATTGGTCTCTTTTAAGGACAAGAGGGCAAACCCAGATTTCGGGGGTTTCCAGAAATCTTGACCTACACCAAAAGTGGGCATTGCCCTGCCTATAGGAGAACTTTGGTTTCATTGCTGTGTATATTTGTTTGGTTTAAAAAAAAAATCTCCATGCATGTTAAAGAAGCTGAGTAAGGGTTCAAAAACTTTACCTTTGATTTTCTTAAAACAGCATTTTTCGGGACAGCCCCCTTGTGCTTATGAGTGACCAATTTTCATAGTTAGGCAACTTTAGAAAAAGGGAAAAAAAAAATTATACAGAAACTCAAACCGATCTTACCTCCAGAGTATATTTCTCCGGTCTTAATCGGTCCAATGTGATGTCCCAGGCTTAGAGATCCAGTTTTCTGAAGAAAAAAAAAGCACAAACAAAAATAAATAGCAAAATATTTTCCAAATTAATTTTTTTTTTTAAGGTGAAAAAAAGTTTGCTATTTTTTTCCTAATTGGTCTGCAGTTGCACCAAGTGTAACTGAAAAGACAAGAAAAGAGAAAAATTAAGAAGATGGAAATACATTTCAGTTTGAAAGTGCGAGCCCAACAATCTAACTACTAGACCACTGATGCCACCACCTATCATACTCAACATCAAGCTGGAAGCTAATGCAGACAAATATAAAATGTTAGGTGTGCTGACAAAATGAATAACATACTTCTCGGATTTTAGCACGATGGAAATTGGTACGCCAAATTCATGGGTGGAGTTTGTACAATTTGTAAGTAAGAAATAATAAAGGACATGTTAAACTTGAAGAGAATGCCATCAATTGAAAATAAATACATCTATCCACAGAGTTGATTTTCAGTCTATATATATATCTCCATTCTAGGGTTGCGAGAAGTAACTCCTTTCGTCAGCAAGCCCCACAAATAACATACCGTGTCCACAACTCGCAGAATGGTTCCATCCTCAAAGAACAGCGGCTTCTTCGCATCCACGACAACGCAGTCCCAGTAGCTTGTCCAGTGTCTCTTACCGTGCTGTCGATGAAATCAGTGACACGATAAAACAAAGTAAGGAGCAACTAAATGAAATCAGGGACATGATAAAACAAAGTAAGGAGCAACTAAATGAAATCACAGACATGATAAAACAAAGTCAGGAGTAACTAAATGAAATCAGGGACACGATAAAACAAAGTCAGGAGCAACTAAATGAAATCAGGGACATGATAAAACAAAGTAAGGAGCAACTAAATGAAATCAGGGACACGATAAAACAAAGTAAGGAGCAACTAAATGAAATCAGGGACACGATAAAACAAAGTAAGGAGCAACTAAATGAAATCAGGGACATGATAAAACAAAGTAAGGAGTATGAAATCAAGGACATGATAAAACAAAGTAAGGAGTAACTAAATCTGTCCCAGTTGTTTTAAGCACACAAAAAATTCTGACATTATGCAAACTGAGCCCAAAAATGTGAAATTATGCATATATTTATATTTAGTAGAGGGTTTTACGGCGCTCGCAACTGCATAAGGTCAAATGAGCGCAAAATTTTAAAAAAGAATGATAAAGGTAAATAATCAGAAATTATGCAAAAAAAGATCAAATTTTGTTAAATTATGCGGAGTGCATAAAACCACGGGGACAGCTAAATGAAATCAGTGACATGATAAAATTGAGTAAACAGCAAATAAATGGTATCGGTGACATATATGATAAAATGGAGCAAATAGCGAAAAAAAACCCCAACTAAGCAAACTTTCTCTTTCTCGCATCCATATCTCTCCCTCCACTTGAGCAAGAAACGTCACAGCTTTAACTTAAGTCTTACGACACTTTAACAATAAATGTAAAACAGCCTGCAAAAAGAAGTAATTTGCTGGCGGAGCAAGTTTCTAGAAACAAACAAAATTCATGTGCTTTTTGACTGAGTAGAAGGACACAGGGATAGAAGTTAAGAAAAGGGAGCGGTACGATCAAAAGGCATAGAAAGCTCAGCACAATTTATATTGCGATAGATTGTCAATTAAATAACTTTATTTTCTTAACTAAGCAGTTAAATCATCAAAATCAAACTCTAAGTTTTGCTAATCCTTGTAACTTTAGTCATCTCTCTAGCTTACCACCTCAGTTTTAGTTTTAGTCTTTTACGGCACTTGCAACACAATAAGGTCATATAAGTGCCAAAGATTAGGGATTACAAAAGAGTAACAAACACAAAAAAGAAGGAGGGGAGATAAGGATGATAGATGTTTGATAGGAGAGAAGAAGCAAAGCACACCAGACCACTTACCAGCTCAGGAAAATCCAGGAGGTATTCCATAATTTTCTGAGGAAACAAGGAACACGCTTACATTAATGTGTCTCAAGAATACTTATATATATATATATATGTATCATTCAACATTTCAAGAAAAACCCTCAAACAAAACAGGGACTCCATTTGAAATCTAGACGCTATCTTGCGTTGTAAAAGGACTCCAATACAAGAGAGGGAAAAAATCTGAAAAAAAGTAAAGAAACAGAAATGCCTAAATAAAGTAAGCAAAATTCAGTTCAACCTTTTCTATACCACACTTATAATCCAAACAATTTTTGTTTGCTTATTTCAGTAAAGATACGCACATCGACAAAATAACGGCAACTTAGCTAGAGAAAACGCTAGACAGACAGACATAATCCAAAGAGGAATAGAGAAAAAAAATTAGGACCTATCAATGAATCCCCCCCCCCCCCCCTCCAACCACCTACTGGACTATTTCGTACATATATAAATAAAGAAAAGAAAAAAAACCCTCAGTTACCAGTTACTTTTTAAAAAGTGCATGTTTTAGTTTTAGTCAGAGTTTTACGGCACTTGCAACACAATAAGGTCATATAAGTGCCGAAGATTAGAGGTGTTACAAGAGAGTAACAAACAGAAAAAAGAAGGAGGTGAGATAAAGACGATAGATGTTTGATAGGAAAGAAGAAGCAAACCACACCAGAGCGCCCGCCGACCACCTATTAAGTCCATGTTTTGTAAGGTACATACTGAAGTAGAAAAAAAACAAACAAAAAAAACCCAACTTTCAACTGAACTTTCCATTTCAATTTTTTTTTTAAATAAAAAAATTAAAGACATGTAAAAAACAGAATACTTACATTGGTGTACACATAGTCGCTGTTTGTGATGAGAACTGTTTTAGCACCATTGCTTCGAATTCTGAAGAATAAAAAATGAATAAAACGAAAATGAAACTATGATCAATCATGTGAATAATTAACTAATCCACTAATAAATCTACATTCTGCACAGAACAGAGAATGTCTTTTTTACATAAAGGTTTTTACGGAGCTTGAAACTGCATAAGGTCATATCAGCGCCAAGGGGTGGATGTCAACAGAGAAGTCCTTACAGGGAATCAGACTTTCTCTGCTCACCTCTTTAGCTTCAACAGCACAAAGTCTGCTTCGACTATCAAGGCACCCCGGAGATAGCGGGTAACAAGAGTGTGACAAACATACAAAAGAAGTAGGGGAAAAATGACGATAGTAAGGATTAGGAAAGACAAAGCAGCAGTTTCCTGTTGCAGTTCAGGCACAGTTATGTTCAGTGAGCCTGGTTGTGTTAGCGACTAAAGTCGCCAACGATACTGTAAGTCTTTACCCTATCCGTACGTTGTGTTTTACTATCATATCCATACGACGTGGGGAACTCTATGCCACCACTTAACCCTATCCGTACGTTGTGTTTTACTATCGTATCCATACGATGTGGGGAACTCTATGCCACCACTTAGCCCTATCTGTACGTCATGTTTTACTATCGTATCCATGCAACATGAGGAACTCTGTGCCACCACTTTCCAAAAAAGGAAATTTACTCCATAATCCGATCCATACGCTTCGCATAGCAGTCTGCCAAAATGAATTTTTGAAAAATACTGAAAGTTTCGAAGAGATCTTCATACTATAAGTATTCTAAAATGTAAAGAATACAACCCCGGAGGATACAAAATTACCCTAGGGCCTACAGATAGGGTTAATTATGTTCAGTATGCCTGGTTGTGTTAGCGACTAAAGTTGTCAGCGGTAGTGAGCGCAAACTACTGCCTGGCAACTAAAGTCGCCAACGATACTGTAAGTGCTAAACCTGTACAATGACAAGAAGGGGAAAGAAACGAGGTGAACGTTTGACCGCAGTACCTGTCCAGCAGAAGAGGAAGCTTCTCGTCTTTGTGAACATACTTGTCCAGGTTGTTCATGGTGGTACTCTTCAGGTCACCCTGCATTCAATCAAAAAATCACAGAAATCATTTTTTTTACGTAAGAGTATTACGGCATTTGCAACACAATAAAGTCATATTAGTGCCAAAGATTAGAGGTGTTACAAGGGAGTAACAAACTCAAAAAAGAAGGAGGGAGATAAAGACGATAGACGTTTGATAGGAAAGAAGGAGCAAACCACACCAGAGCACCCGCCAACAACCCACAGAAATCGTATTAAAAAATAAACAATTATACGACCACATTTCTTTTATCTACACAAGTGCAATGATCAAGCTGTGTTTCCCATCCCCTCTTTCAAAATCAAATATGTCAGCTTGTTTCCCATATGTATGAACCTGAGTGAGTATAAATGTGTGTGTGTGTGTGTGTGTGGGTGTGTGTGTGTGTGTGTGTGTGTGTGTGTGTGTGTGTGTGTGTGTAACATGTGTGCTGTTAAGGCTGTATGGAGGTGCTTCGCTGTGTCTTCAGCTTGGCTGTTGTCTGTCAGTGTCAGATTTATTAGTTTGATGGGTTTGGGTTTTTTTTCTTTCTTCTCTGTCCCTGTCTGTCTGTCTGTTTGTCTTTCTGTGTTTTGTGTGT